TTCTTCCTACCGACTTCATAATTTCTTCTTAGAGACCCCAGAAAATATATCAGGCCATTTTCTTTACATGTTAGAAAACCTTATATAATTAACAACAAATAGGGCTTTGATAGTTCATGTTACTATTAAATTCATATCATTATTGGATAGATCTGTTTCAGTTAATCCTGTACCCAAATTCTCAAATGAAGATAGTTTGATGTTTCCTGTGTAAATATTGACCAAGTTTCCCTTTTTATTGGCATGACACACACACAAACCATTCTTTACTGTTGAAAAGTTCCTAGCAACTTTGCTTCCCATGCAGAGTAAAAGAAAAAATTTAACTCCTCATGGATAGCCTCCAGACATTTTTACTGGCTTTATTTGGTCAAGTGTTTTTCTCTTGAGCAAGAAAATTAAATGAATGAAGCAAAATTGGGTGAGATATTGTCCTTTAGAAAAATTCTGGGTTTGTAATTCAAACAAGAAATTGAAAAGTAAAACCAACTCTATTGTAATAAATAAAAATATCTAGAAAGTATTTAGCATAGAGTATGTACTAAATATGCACTTGTAGTAAAATATCATATATTTTAAACTTCTAAATATGCATAGATTCTCGCTTTCAGTCAAGCTTTCTAGGACCACACATAAAGATGAGAGCATATTGAACATAAGGCAAATTTTAGTTAGATTTTTGAGTCTGATATAACTCAAATCTCAGATAGACTCTATTCTGTGTTTCAGAGAAAGCCAATGACTTTCCCTTGGGGTCTTGGATGCAACCTAAATTTATAATAATCTTTGATTAAAATATTTCTGTGTGCATTATCATAGCAATAACAGATTATGCTGGTAATTGATCTAGAAACCCAACACAGACATTTCTTCTCAAGTTCTACAAACAAAATAGAATAGTTTTTACCCAAACACTTCTCACCAAAAATTAAATAATCATAATAGTGTGAATTTGTTTTGTTTTGTTTTGGTTTGGTTTGGTTTCGAGACAGGGGTTTCTCTGTGGCTTTGAAGGCTGTCCTGGAACTAGCTCTTGTAGACCAGGCTGGTCTTGAACTCACAAAGATCCGCCTGACTCTGCCTCCCAAATGCTGGGATTAAAAGCACGTACCACCATGGCCCAGCACGAATTTTAATCTTAATTAGCATATAATTTTCATCAATAATTAATGGGAAGAAAGATGTGGAGAATCTCCAAGGAGAGGGGGGAGAAGAACCTGTAACAAAAATATATGAAAACAAATATATTTACAATAAAGAACAGTTTAGTAAATTCAGAAATGAATAATAGAAACTGAATACACTAGCATCTATAGCTCTCCTTTGAATATGTTTATTGTTTATGACAGAGGCATTGCATCATAATGTCAATGACTTTAAAAAGAATTGTGACCCCGTACATTGGCTTGCTTTTATAAAGTGTCTTTTCACAAGAGAGAAGCTTTAGGGTAAGGCTAAACCAAATTTACTAAATGGTGATAAGGCAAAATTTATTTACTAGTTTCCTTTCAGAAATTTATTTGTAGACATTTCTGTATTTCAAACTCTCTTCCACTCTAAATATCCAAGTTTTCAGTATATTTATTTTTTCTCATGAAGTTTCACAAAAATCAAGGGTAAAGCTTGCATTTCCATAGTGTTTAAAGCTTAACAGTAACATACAATGTTGCCTGGTACTCCAGCAGGTAGAGCAGGAAAAGGACTGGTCCAGCCAGTCACTTCACAGGGCTGAGCAGGGATGGTGTCCACCACTCAGACCCTCCCCTCTACTAGTTAGGGGGAGAGGGGAGGGACACTGAGCCCGGAGACTGTCAAAGCATAATCTCAACTTATTTTAACAGGTATGAACTTATATAGGGCTTAGGTAGGGGATGGGAATCAATGGATAGGGTAAGATGATGTGAAGAGTATGGGCCAATAATATTCCGCCAAGCTGGCAGGTAGCTATGCAGGTCTGGCTGGGTCACCCCCACGTGGAGGTTACAGGCCAGAGACAGGTCACCAAACTCTAGCCAGGCTCAGGAGGTTACACTGGGCCTTACATCTGAGCTCTTTCCAGGTCCAACACACAGTAAGAACATGTGTGGTTTCTTTTCTTTTCTCTTATTACTTTAATTTTAAATAGCTTGCTTCACATGTCAATCCCAGTTGCCTCTCCTTCCACTCCTACCGCACCCACCACCCCCAGCCTCCCACCCTATCCCCACTTCCTTCCACATAGGGGATATCTAGAGTCTGTCATTTCACTCAGGGCAGGGTCCAGGCACTCCCCTAAGAGTCCAAGCTGAGAGATCATCCCTCTTTGTGTTATGGACACACGATGTCTGTTTGTATTCCAGGGATTAACATTGATCCACTGCCCAAGGCCCCATAAGTTGCCCAGGCCTCCTTACTGACTCTCACACTCAGGGGTTCTGGATCAGTCCCATGCTGGCCTCCCAGCTGTCCGTGTGGTGTCCAAGAGCTCCCCCCTTATTCAGATCAGCTGTCTCTGCTGGTTTCGCCAGCCCATTCTTTGCCCATTTGCTCATTACTCCTCTCTCTCTGTCACTGGGTTCCATGGGTTCAGTTCAGTGTTTAGCTGCGGGTGTTTGCCTCTGCTTCCATCAGTCACTGGATGAAGGTTCTGGGATGTCATATAAGGTAGACGTCAAGTTCATTATCAGGAATGGGCATTTAACGTAGTCTCTCCACTATTGCTTAGCTTGGCAGTTGGTGTCATCCTTGTAGATCGCCAGAGGTCTCACTGGTGTCAGATCTCTCTTCAAACCTATGACTCCCTCTTATGGTATTTCTCATCCTGTTCTCCCCCTAATTTACCCCCCCACTCAACATTCCTGTTCCCCCATGACCTACTCTCTCCTATTGTCCCCGTGTCTCTTCTTCCCAGCTCCCACTCCCCACACACACATCTCCTGCCATGTTCCTCATCTGTTCAGATCTTGCCTCATTCCTCTTCTCTGGGGTACCATGCATATCTCTTAGGTTCTTCCCCGTTTCCCAGACTTGTGGTTTCTGTCCCTTTCATTTTTCAGCTACAGTGAGCCTTCATAATTACGGGCAAGCAGCAGAGTTTCAACACATTGTGTATGAGTTCTCCTCCACGTCTGTATTCTAGAACTGGAAAGATGCCTGAAATTAGAGGAGCTGGGCGTTAGCAGCTCCTCATTGTTTGAAATATGTTCTTGTTATTTTCTTTTATTTTGGAGTCATTATTATAGATTCATTAAGAGAAGAAAGAATCACTTACTTAGGTAGTGAAGGCATACAAGCAAGCTCATAACCACCTTAAACAAAATAAGCCTCATTCATAAGGATAGATATTGCATGTTTTCTCTCACTTACAGAATGTTTCTTATTTGTGATGAGAAGAAAGAAAAGCATATGGAGTCATAAACATGGTGAAAACACAAACTATACTGGAAATATTTTGTCTTTATGAAGGCTCCGATTATATATGTCAAATTATTGTATTTTCCAATTTTTGAGAATTTCACACAAGAGTAACTGTGTTTGCATCATTTCCACCTCACCTTCTCTCCTCCAACTCCTCCTGTGTCCCCAGTCACTCTCAAATTCATGATCTCTGTATTTATTGTTATTACATACGTGTGTGTGTGTGTGTGTGTGTGTGTGTGTGTGTGTGTATGCATGTGCTGGTATAAATACAATCTTCTGCGTCCATTTAGTATTGTTCTTCTTGTGTGTATGTGTTTAGGATTGCATAACATAGCAGGGGTTTCATCCTTGAGAATGAATCCCCCTCTCTAGGAGCCATTAGGAGTGGAGCCTTATGACGTTTCACCATCCACAAAGGAATGCCAACTGGTGTTATTGTGCAGATCTTGTGTAGGTGATCATATTATTAAAATTTCATGAGTGTAGCTTCCTGTCATATATAGAAGACACTGTCTTATAGCAGGTGTCCTGGTTCTTGGGCTCTTAGCCTTTCTGCCCCCTCTCCTTCAATGTCCATGAGCCTTAGGTGAAGGGATCGCGTTTCAGATGAACTTTTTAAAGTTGGGCGTCCCACAGTCACTGATTCTCTGCATTTTGACCAGTTGACGTTTTATGTGATGGTCTCTGACTGCGACAAAAAGAAGCTCTTTTGATGAAGGATGAAAGCTACACTTACCAGTGGCTAAAAGGATGAGAATTTGGAATTCAGTAAGTAATTACACTGATTTGGGAAGGCTATAAGTGATCCTCTGGGATCTGTGACCTAACTGGCCATAAAGAGGCAGCTAGGATAACAAACAATATCGGGCATGAATTCTCTCTTGTTGAGTAGGCCTTAATTCCAATTAGACTGCCTCTGCTTGCTCTTAAGACCTAAGTGCCTCTATTATACCGTATCTTATCATGCTGGTCATTGTCATGGTTCATAGACTTTGCAGCTGGGTAGGATTGTTGACAGCTTTTCTCCATTGGAAGCTTGCATAGCATCTTTGGATCCTATAGGAGCTAGTCCTCAGGGACGAGGCTTCCAGGTCACTTCCAATTCAAATCCTCCAAGTCCTGTGTCCAAAGTGCATGATGTCTCCAACAATCAGGTCTTGCCTTAAGCTCTTGAAGGCAACCCAGAGCAACGACAATATTTTACATTGTTTTAGGGATCTCTTGGGCTACTTTGAGGTTTCCCATGCCTGATACTAGGATTTTTGTTAGACTGTCACCCTTGTGGGGGACAGCATGCATAGCTACATTTGACAATTTTCACTTAATATTATGAATGTGTCTGTGTTTGAAGTAAACAGAGTACTATGATCCCTTATGGCTTTTTCAGACATTCTTATTGTATTTTATCCATTCCCCTTCCCTCTCCCTCTGTATTTCCCTCCTTTCTGCAATCCAGATAGAGGTCTCACCCAAGTTTTCTATTTTCCACTCTATAATGTCTCTACCCTATCATCCTCCTCCCTAGACTTAACTGCATGGGAGAAGGCGAGGTGGAAATGATATAAGACAGGACTCATGTATTAAATTCTCAAAGAATGTACTGAAAGAGGAAAAAGCAAAAATTTTATTTGAGCCAGGGGAAAAAATTCTAAAGACAAGAAAATGGATGTACAGATACTTTTCATGGTCTTTTATATATTACCAATCCTTTAAGATGTCGTTTTGGAGTCTTTTATGTGGAAGTTAGCATCTGACTTGTATTTCTGAGTTCATTTATCATGCTATTTTCTTAGACCATCAAATTAAGAAACTATCAGGTGACAAATTTTATAACATGTCATTAAACAAAGATGTGCGAATGAATGAAGGGATTTATGAAAAAAACCTAAATTTGACATCTGGAAATAAAATCCTAAATATTGTGTAGTAGTGTTTTCTCCTAGCAAAGCCGGAGGGATTTAAGCTTGTTGAGCTAATGACGACAGCGTTAGTGAATGGAAGTGTCTCTTAGCCCCTAAGGAATTTAGGCTGCTGAGTAGCTGCTGTGCAGGGAATTATTTATAATAGCATTTACTGGTAAGAGAAAGGGGCGAAACCTTAGACAGGCACTTAGATGTGACTAAGGGAGGTTTATTTCTGATTCCAAAGCACTGGAAGTCACGCCATGACTCAGAGCATTGTGATGAGCCAGCTGTCCACAGGCTCGATTCCAGTGTGTGCTCAGGCACCACCATGCCAGACAGAAGACTCACCGGAACATAATTTCAGTGAGTTCATTTGCTTGACACAGTTTCCATATCGGTGGTAGAGAGGACCATGTGGTCACTTTGTCTTCAGCGCCTCAACAGTAGTTTATACAATGTCCCAAATGGCACATGTATTCAACCGTCATATCTCCATTTTCTTAGGAATATTTGGTGAAAGGCTGACTCTTTTGTTAAGATACACAGCATGAAAATAACAAGTCACACTCATCAGTATGCCACATCACGAATATAATACCTATTCAGCCAGGGTCATTGTTGTTTGTTTGTGTCTTGTTACTTTGAAACTTAGCAGAATTAAGAAATGATCTGAAATGAGCAGACCCTAAATCTGGTGATGTAAACACTATTACAGTACTTTGTATTAGTGCATTTTTCTTTCACTTAAATGCTCAACTGTTAGCGAGGAAAAGTATTACTTCAAAAAGAAATAAAAGAAAATGGAATTTATGAAACAAAGTGCTGTACATCATTTTTCTAAGTAATTGATTCTATTTCTCTTTTAAACTGTCATTTATATGTGACTACTCCTGTATGCATAAAATCCCATATGCAGTATTTCATTAAAAAATGAGTCATAGTTATCCAAGATTATAGGTCTAGAAATACATTTTAGGTTGATCATTACTGACCTATGATTAAGTTTAGTTTGTTTGGTTTTGCAGTTTTTTGTGAAACAGTTATGTTTGTTTGATCATTCTTTTGTGTACCATCCCTCATACCCAGGAAGTCCTCTCATTTCCTCTTTTTGTGTATGCAGCCATGATGCCTTGTCTTGTATCTATCTGAGTTCTTTCATTTCTCCTCTAAAACCGTGCTGCACAAGTCACAGACACTGTTAGTACTTCTTGGTCTCCTCAGCATATCGAAAACAGCTGGTAGGTGTTTGAAAAGGTTACCCTGACAGTTTAAGTCCATTAATACATGTTGAGGCAGTTTAATTTATAAAAAATATAAACTCTTGCATAACATAAAGTCTATGTATTCAGTTACTTCAATGGGTCCTTATTCAGGTCCTATCCATGGACTATTTGTTGATTTAGCTCAAGGTCAACCAATTTAAACCCTTGAGCTAAAACAATGAACTTCTCTTAGTATGATATATATTTTTACATGAATCATGTGTATAGTATACACAAAACTTTCAATTTCCTTTTAAAATTACATTTAGTGTGTATGTGTGTGTGTATGGAATTCAGAGAACAAACAGAAGTTGGCACCCTCCTTCCACTGTGTGGGTCCGAGTGATGTAAATCAGGTCTCCAGGCTTGATGCCAGGAGCTTTTATGAGCCATCTCGCCGCCCTGCAGTTGTTGATAATTACATACCAAAAAAGGAAACCATCAGAATTATTTATTTCAATACTTGACTCCTGCAGCCCAGAACAGAAGGACGGTGTATCATTTTATATGGAGAATGGAAAGTCAGGAGGCTTGCGAAACGTGATTTGGTTGCTTCCATGGAATATTGTCAGACCAATAGGAGCTAGTGAAGAACTTTTATGGACGGTATAAATAATTTGAGCCGTAGACATCATTACCAGTTGATATTTTCTTTCCCGAGGACCAGCTGTTCAAGAGCACCCCGGAACAGAGCCAGGCACAGTTGAGACTCGGCTGGCATTAGCACCGCGGCAGATTCCTCTTCAGCAATGTCGGTGTTAGAAGAGAGCCGGCCGTTTGCTCAACAGCTATCCAATGTCTATTTTACGATACTCTCCCTTTTCTGTTTTAAACTTTTTGTGAAAATCAGCCTTGCCATCCTTAGTCATTTCTACATCGTGAAAGGCAACCGAAAGGAGGCCGCCAGGATAGCAGCTGAATTTTATGGAGTAACCCAAGGACAAGGTACGTTTATGATAGCAGGCTCCTATTTCAAGTTAAGTTGAACTATCATTTGATCTACAATCCAAGAAAACATCGCAGGTTCTCGTAATGGGACATTTTGTAGACTTCAGTGGAAGGACGTTCTTGTAACTTGCTTCATTGGCTTCATGAAAAAGAAAGATAGTTTTCCGTGTAAATGCTTGGGCAATATGGAAACACAGCATTTAGTATAGATATCCTTGCCTAGTCATAATCATTTAAAACCTTTAACTATTTCTTTTCTACATCATTGTTTTAGAAAATATGAAAAGATTACTAATTTTACTTTAATTGTCCTTTAACATTAAATTTAACATTATAATATTTTAAAGGATATATTGAGATCATTCATAGAAGTGCTGAGTCAAGCCTGGCGGTGCAACATGTAATCCCAGAAACTCAGGTGGCTGAGGCAGGAGGATTGTAAACTCAGGGCCTTCCTGGGCTTCAGTGAATTCAAAATCATGACGAGGACTGAAGGAAAAGATGGGTTAGCTCAGCAGGAAAGCACTCCCTAGTATGTGAATAGGGTCCGTTCTCAGCACTAAGCAATTAACTAAAATAATTGTTATTAAAAGTAGAGGATTTCAGGATTGCTTTTCATGCAATTTTATTGTGAAATAAAACACAGAAATTAGTATTTATAGCACATATTTTCATAAAGGGATTGATAATGCTTTGCTTGGATGTGGAAACTGTTTACTATAAGATAGGATCATGAATAAGCAAATTTGATGTTTGTGCAGCCAGGCTCATCCATGCTTTTTAGAAACTGAAATATGAGAGGAAATTTAAAAAATGGTACTACCACTCATAGGTTTTAAATTTTATAAGACCATTATATGCTAGTGGAACAATATTCTAGATAGTAAAAATGATTCATGTGCTGGTTGGAAGTGACATTTTAATTTCTTGCAATCTATTTATTTCTGATTTGGAATTAATCAAGCCAACATTATGTACATACCCTGATACCCCCAGGAAATTTAAATATTCAGAGTCAAAACTTAACATCACGTAATTAGAAAATACAGCCTTTTAAAGAATGTCCTTTAAGCTTTTTGTGTTGAAACAGATTTTCCTATATATTTTAATCTTTTACATAATTTGCTTTAAAATCTAGGCTACTGTTGGTGTGTGGGGATGTTGAACAAAGGTGGGGATTCTAAGTGGTTTATGAAGAAGATATTATTGTCCCCTAAGGAAGATTGCTCTTGTTTAAACTGAGGAACCCATCTACGAACTCAGTGAAGAAAATCTAATTGCCCCAGGAAGCTCTCATAGAGAAAGTAAAACCTAGACAAAATAGGCAGTAACCCTTTATCTCCCAGCACTGATGTTGAAATGGCATTTCAAAGTATTGTCTTTATTTATGATCCATGGAAAATATCATTTGGTAAACAGAGTATTTGAGTACTAAATGGAAACATAAAAATAGCTTTTAAAACCTGTCATATTTCTAGATGTGGTTAAGTAAATTATAAGAGTATAAGAGTGGTGGTAAAATTTGTCTTCACAAACCTTATAGCTCATTATTTCAGAGTCATACTTTAATCTCCATTTTATGAGAATGGTCATATACAAAGCAGTGAAATGTTGGGTAAAAGAAGAAAGATGTTTCTGCCTTCAAAAGGTGATAGAGGAGACTTGAAACATCTTTCTGTTCATCTTGGCAAATAAAGGAAGCAGTCATTCCCTTTTACATCATGGTGTTCTCGTTCAGGAATTCCTGGGCATATATGAAATGACTCTGGTCTTTTATTGTCATTATAGTCCTCTAAAATATATTAGAATTATAGGATTTTCCCAGGTAGTAAAAACACATTTCCTGGAAATACAAAGTTTTAAAAAGTATTGCTGTGTTTATAACATTCACTGTATTTAACAAAATTAGTTTTTACCACCACATAGTATTCATTATATATTTAACACCAAGGTATTTAATTGTAATTACTATTCAGGGTGAGCATAACCATGTCCAATTTTATTTTAACATTAGGAAAATAAACCAATGCCTTGAACAAAATCTTTTTCTCCTCTTAAGAGAAAATTATACCATGCCCAGGAAAATATTATTTCTCTATTTTATATAGGTTTTTTACATTTTAAAATCATAATATACTATTTCTGATTTACATGTCTCATATTGACTGTTCAGGTTTAACTATTGTCGCTTAACCAAGCAATGTCCTTCTCCTTTGCTAAGATTATCACTGTTATCCATTTTGAGTTAGGTTCCTCATTCCCACTTTCAGGGCTTAGCCCGATTGCTCCCCAAAATTTCTGGAGTGCAGTTGCCCAATCCATGAAGGCTGATGTGTATAATGCATGCCTGTCAGAGCAGTGGAGACCCTATTGACAGCATTCTCAATATCTTCCCAAGAGCTATAGCACTTCAGTGGGAAATAAAAGAACTCCTTTGCTTACCTAATTGCTGTTTCAAGGTGGCTCATTGCAGTAGGCAAGTGTAGGCTGTTTTGTTGTTGTGACTGCTGTTGTCATCAGTTGGTAACCCCTGTTCAGTCAAGCTTGAGATGAAGGTCTGGTAACAAACCAGAAACCTGATGAGCTAAATGGTGGATAAACTAACTTAAGACTTTCGTTTCCTTCCTGATCCCTGAACAATTCCAGTAAACTTCATAACACTGCCTTTTCATCTCTGACGACTTCTTAACCCTGTGTCATACCGCAGGAATTCATTCTTTGATTAGCTTCTCTATTTTTAATATCATCGCTGCAGTCAAACCCTTTGTCACACTGAAGGGACACATTCTTTGCTCAGCTTCTTCATTTTTATATCATTGCTGGAGTTAAACACCTCGATTAGAGTCTCTGTCTTTCATGGGATGACTTAGGTTATAAATTTGCACTATACCTTGAGATTGACTGTGAGATCAACAAGAATTGGAACGTATTTTCACCTGTAATATTAAATGGCGAAGGAAAATATAATATTGAAGGGTATCATAATTTGATGAAACCATTCCAAAGCCCTAAAAGACATTAAAAACCAATAAATATCCCAAGACATAAAAAGAGCTCAATCATATTAAGATCAGTATTTATTAAGTTCAATCTTAGCCTATAAGAATTACAGCAATTTTACCTTCAAGCAAACGGAGTCAGTTCTAAACATGTTTCTTGAGTCCCCTTGATAGTAAGAAAATGTGTTGTTCTTTGGCATAAGTACTTTTACGTGGAATGCTGAACAAACAATCGTTTTCAGATACACTAATGGAAGTGAAGCTAAATAATTAAAGTGCCCTTTTCACAGTTGGGCTGTCACAAAGATTTTTTCCCGGAGGAGGCAGATGTTTTCTTCATTTCAGGAGTGGCCAAAGGCTGGATTTCAGGAAGTACAAGGGAGCAAATGGCACTCAATAAAGTAAAGAACGTATGAACGAGAAAAACAATTAGACGCAGATATGAAAGAATTTGAATATGAGACAAATAATTTCAGTTTTTTGAGTGTACTAGGAGCCATGAGAGTTTGAGTATATATGACATTGGGCAGATAAAAAATCATGTAAATAAAAGAGTTTGTTATAGATTTACATAGTAACAATTGAAGTTGTCCAGCTGAACATATTTGCAGTAAGTAGACCAGTTTGGACCTTGCCAGAGGGATATGAAAGGCTACTTAAATTTATGCTTGTGTTTGTGCCTGTGTCTGTATCTCTGTGAAGATGTCACAGTGAAACATTTTTTGTATGCCAAGTAAAAACTTAGTTTTAAAAATGATGGAGACCTTGTTTACTTTGATAGTGATTATATGACTGGAAAAATAATAACAACAAAAACAAAAATAATCCAAGAATGAATCTGTGATGCCTTTGAAGAACAGTAGCATAGAGAACATCTGTGACTTTAGACTAAGTAGGTATCTGAGAATTATACATTAGCCTGTCGATTGGAGTGGAAATTAATCAGCCACACAGGCAAATATGAATGTCATAAACGGTACCCTTAGCTGCCTTGTGAATCTGGTAGGTCACTAAACTTCACTCTGAAATGTCAAGAGAAATCAGGACATTGCAAAGCTAGACTCTGATTCTACTTTTGTGCTGTGTTTACTTAATATATGAACCCTCTTTACTTATTTTAAAAATCACCAATTAGCTCTCTGATTATGATTTGGTCCCTGCCGAGAGAACTGTCAGGCTTTCCCTTCAAAATGTTTTAGACTATCTGAGATTGTATCACGAAATAGTATATTTATCTCTTGATATCAGTGTTTTTTATTTTGAGCTTTTGAGGTTGTAAACCTACCTTTGAAGCATTAGTTTCTTTCAAAATAGATTAGAGTTCTGATCCTTAAAGGCCATGAACAAATTTTTTTTTCATGAACAAAATTTTTGACTGTGGAAAATACCTCAAAGTAATATGTCCTTGTGACTCTGTGGGCTGACTTTTGAAATTATCTGGGGACATGGAATATCACAGGGAAGTCCTTTGTGGTTGAGACGCTGAGGAATTTAAGATGTGTGCAGATTTATGTCTGTGACTCTGATTTCATACAATTCTGAACTGTTTGGCATTGTGGTTACTGTCAAACATGCATTTCTTGTCATACATGTGGTTGAGACTTGAAAGTAGGATATAATATAATATGCCAGCTCCAGTCAAATGCCAAAATAAGATGTCATTTTGAAGACTAGTACAACCAAGGTATAAAAGGAAGCTAGAATTCTATCAAAATATACATGGTGTTTATTTCTTTTGTGGTGCTAGGACTGAAGCCAAAACGTCATACAGGTTTGACACGTGCTGTATGACTAAACTATACCCCCAAGCTAGCTTATATAGAAAAGTCTATATTAGGTTTATATCAGCTTTAATAACTAAACCATACAGTAGCTGCCAGCAATATCATAAATGATACACATTCTGCCATTTCCAAAGAAGAATGTTTTGTGTGCTACGTTTGATTATTTATGAGACCGTTATGGTAGGAACACTTATCTCAACAATGAATACTTTCAGGAGGCAAGTACAACGTCTTCTTTAATGACATTTATTACATAAATGCATAAAAAGTCCTGAACACTTTTTCCCGAACTTAGATGAATTAGCTCTACATAGGAATGACTGAAATCAACAGACCTGCTCTTAAATGACAAAAGACATTACACTCAAAAGATGTTTTCATTCGTCCAAGCTCTAGTCTATTTTAAAATACTATTTTAAAATACCAGAATATCTCTTTTAGAAAAGGCTATCCTCTGGTGAATTAAAAATGAAATCTGGGGACAAAGTTTCAAGTTTAGACATGACTATAAGATTTTAATACATTTGTAATTCCTCCTGCTCTGTTTGGTGAGAAATGCATTAATTCTGGAATTAAAGAACCTAAGAAATTGTGGTAGCTTCAACAGGATAAGTTTTCCTAGGAATATACTTTCTATGCATTTGTTCCCTTTTTCTTTAGTAATTCTATCATTCTGTCTTTTCTTCTTACAAAATCCATAGTTTATTTTCATTTGCCCAAAGTCTAAGTTACTGTATCAGGCATTAAGATAAAATATACGAAAGCCCTCAACCTCCTTAATATATCTCCTTAATATGTGGGAGAGATAAATAACCAAATAATTGGAGACATTGTAAATGTATTTTACAAGGCCAACCAATTGCTTTGGGAATAAGGAATGAGAGGACCCAGGCAGGAGTAGTCTTACCTGGGACATGTATGTTTCAAACTGTACCAACAATATTCATGTTCTCTTTCCCAACTGTGTACATGTTTCCTTCAGAATTTCTGGCTCTCCACTTTTGCTCCATATATCTTGTTCATTTTTCAGCTAGTTGCTTCTGAGTCATATATCTCACACATAAAGCTTTACCCAAAACTCATTTCACTGCTTAAAATTTTTATTTCTAGTATAGGCACATACTGGTATTCTCACCTTTACTAGGCATTTTGAAGAAATGGCATGGTCAGTCCATAAACTCATAAAAGTTTCTTATCAATGCAGGCAGCAAAGAAATAAAAATGAATTGTTGATTCCCATAGTAAGATTTTTTAAAGAAATTGATAAAGTTCTTAAAACTAGGTATTTTTCTTATTTGTTGACATAGCTGAAATATTTCCAGTCAACTCAAGACAACACATATTGGATACCACTTTACTCCTGGCACAGTGTTGATATTGCACGCTCACATTGCAATACATATGTAGTATATGAAAAATACATATGGAATATATGCATATATACTTTCTAGACACACTGTACTGAATATTATATGTTTAAATTTATATACATTAAATTAATAATATATGTGGCATGGTATATAATTTACTTTTGAATCAAAGTAGACAACGTGATTAAGAACCAAATGTTGCACATGTAAATTATCCAAACAGCAAACAAGTAGAAATTCATAAAGTATTAAAATGAAAATGATCACATTTTGCAGTCACGGCCATCTTAGAATTCAGTGAGGGAAAAATACGAGGTCTACTCACAGAGATTGAATAGTTTAAGATGAAAATATATGTTTATGAGGAAGTATAAATAAAACCAAGTTAAACACAAAGGAAAAGAGGGAAAATTTAAAATGAGAAACATAAGAAGCCTGGTTTGTTTTTACTAAAGACTGAAGTATGAATCTTAGAGCTGATGATACTTACTTGAGCAGATGATGCTTTTCTCAAATCCTGTATCCAAACACTCACAGTTCTATTCAGAGCTTTCTGATGTCTGGATTAAGCATATAAAAGTCATGAGCTTATGGAAGAAATTTTCCACCATAAGTACTTTGTCAAGTCCTTGATGTAATGATTCAATGTGTCATGGTCTATATTGTATGAACTGAATATCGGAGAAAGTGGATGGCCTACTTGTTATAGGCTTAACAATGCATGTTCTTATAGTGTCTCCAAGTCCTTGTGATGATTCAGTGTGTCATAGTATGAATCATATGAACTGCATGTTGGAAAAGGTGCCTGTCTTCCTTGTTGTGGGCTTAGCAGTCCATGTCCATGGGTGTTCTATAGATTCTGACAAATTTTTAGTATACTAAGTACATATACTGAAGAAAGATTTTTCTCAGTGATTCACTCCCCCAACCAACAATGTGATAAAAAGATAATTATTTAGAATGTCTATTCCTCCAAATCCATACTGAAGTGGATGAAAAGAAAGGAGGAAGGATATGTATGTATGTAAATATGCATGTATATGTGAATGTATGTATAGTATATATGTATGTATATATGTGTCTATTATATAAATGTGTGTATGTGTGTGTACTTGTATGTGTATGTATGTATATGTGTGTATGTGTGTATATTTGTAAGTATATATGTATGCATATGTGTGTGTATATATATGTAAGTATGTATGTATGAGCTGTGAGGGATATTTGCCATTTTTTCTTCACCAACTGCACAGGGAATAATTTTGTTGTTGTTGTTGTTGTTGTTGTATTTTCAAGACAGGGTTTCTCTGTATTGTTTTGGAGGCTGTCCTGGAACTTGCTCTGTAGACCAAGCTGGCCTCAAACTCAGAGATCAGCCTGCCTCTGCCTCCTGAGTACTGGGATTAAAGGCGTTTGACACCAGTGCCCAGGTGAACAATTCTTTTTTCCAGCCTTCTTTTATCAATGTTACAAAATAAATCATGGGCTTCTAGACTGAGAGCATTCAGTTGCTACAGATAGTGTCTGTGAATAAGCAAACCCATGTTGTCTCATTTGGTGACAAACTGAATGCTATGTAATTCTATGATAAGGAAAAACCCCACCAGTTTCTTTGAGAAAGGAGTTTGAAGGTCATTTTGTTATATTTAAGAGAGTTCTGGAAAAGGCTGCAAGACTAAGAAACTAGGGTGGTGTGGGGAAGATAGGTTTTGCATGGCCTCCTTTCACGCTCCAGCTACAACAAATACATCTTCACAAGTCTTCCTAATATGGACAGCAGACAAGGATTTTTTCCCCAAGAATAGGATAATATTTACAACCATCCCAATTAATAAGGTAGTATTTAATAAGTTGTGTGAATCATTAAGGAACCTAACAACCCTATATGAACAGTCAATATTGGTTGCTGGGGATCAGAACAGTTAACATTTTGCGCCCTTCGAGAATGTGCATAACTGTGACGTGGCGTGAGGGCAGCTCTTCTCCAACAGAGCAGCTAAAATATCCATGGCACCATTACCTACCGAGCAAAATAGAAACCTTCAGAAATCCACATACTCTTTCCAGAAGGCTTATAGTCTTAAACTCCGGGCAGAGAACAAACAAACTGAAATGCAACACCGGAATGCCACTCGTGTTCTTAAATAGAAGCACTGACTTGACTCCCAGGAGCTGTCAAGTATATAGCTAGAGTGAAAGGAAAAATGACATCAATTAAGCTGAGCCTTATTCGCTGCAAAATCTACTGTTCTCCCTCATAACATCACGAAGTCCCTCATTAGAGTGAGCCAGGTGAGGCTGCCCGAGTGTGGGAGCAAGCCATCCGTCTGAAAAGATTTTATTACAAGAGTGCTTCAGTAATGAGTGCAGTAGCAAGAATGCCTCTGTCACCCAACTCAGGAACAACTTAACACATCTTGACTGACCAATGATGAGAATTAAAAGCACTTATATCTTCTGAATTTTACTAGGAAAATAATAACTTTAACCTTCCAGCAAAAAGCCAAAAGGAATTTCTAGATTGATGTGGTACGGCAAAGATATGGCTGGATTTCAAAGCTGTGTTTTCTCTTCTTTCCCTCTTGAACTTGATCCACTGTGGTAAATTTGGAAAACGAAGAGGTGTCATTTCCTTTTGAGTGTGAATACACAGAAGATCATAAAGAGTGTCTACACGGTGACTCTTCTAGCATTCCAAGTCAAGGAGTTGACTAAACTTTGATTTTTTTTCATTTACCTCTATCATTCCCACTTCATACAATTATGATGAAATGCTCACTAGCTAAGTTTTATGGATTTTTTCCATTAAAAAAGTTAACAAACTTTTTTGAAAAAGTCAACAAACAAGACTGATTTGACTTACAACAATCTCCTGAATTTTAAGTCCTACAGCAATACTTGAGCACCTAATTGATTTGGTATTCCAAGAATGTGGAAGACAGGAGAGTCTCTCAAAGAAAGCTGAGCAATTAGGATCTACTGAAATGGATTTTTAAAAAATTTTATTTATGAAGGTCAGTTGTATTAAACAATGTAATTATTTAAAGGTCAATCATTATATTATTATGTTATAGGACAACAAAATTTAATTCTAAAGTTATACTTAATTCCATAGAATTAAAATTCATATTTTTATTTTTATAATATTTTTAGAAGACAAGATATTCATGTGAAAAAGAAAGTATACTTAGTACATACCTACTTAGCCTGAGATAAGTACAACTCTTGACAAGTACCTAAGTATAGAATCGATAACAGTATGACAAGTAAAATGGATATCTCAAGAATATTGTTATTTTGAAGAATGAAATCATACCTTACTAGACAAAATGTCACTTGCTCTCTGAAATAGCTGTTCATGGCATAAAGGAAAAGCAATGCCTTAGATATTGAAGAAATTCAGCAAATATTTGTAGAATGAATAAAAGACCCTACTTAGAGAAAATGGGAGTTAAAGTTACATTACATAAGGCCAAGTAAATTAGACAGACAGATATGTGGTGATATATTGTTTATGATGTAATAAAGCCACGGGATCAGAATGCAAGCTAGCCACAGTCATAGATCCAGGCAGTGGTGATACACACCTTTAATTCCAGCAGTCATCCTAGCTAGCCATAGAGACCAGGAGGTGGTGGGTGGCACATAATCTTTAATCCCAGGACTATGGAGACAGAGGCAGATGGATCTCTATTAGTTCGAGACCAAACAGATACATGAAATTGAAGACGATCTCAGCACTTAGGATCATACGCCTTTAGTCCCAGAACTAGAGAGATATTTAAGAAAGTTAGTCTTAGGCAATTAGTCTCCAGCCATGTTGAAGAGAGCATGGCAGTCTAGGATTGCAGTCTGAAGCTTGGTGGAGACAGGATTGCAGTCTGAGACTTGATGGAGACAGGATTGCAGTCAGGATTGCACTCTGAATATTTGTGGAGACAGGATCATCCTTTTGGTCTACGGTAGAGGTAAGAGCTGATGGCTGGCTGGAAACTTGAACCCCAATACCTGTCTCTGGGATGTATTATTCATGTTACACAGATCTATTATGGTTCTGGCTTGCTTTAGTTGTGTGATCCATGGAAAAGAGCTTAATGCCTACAGGCTTCAGTATCTTCATCAGCAAAATAAAATTAGCAACCTTTACTCCAATAGAGTAGTACAAATCTTACATGAGAGATAATTTGTCTAAAATTACCAAAACCACTTCCTGCTATATGTAACTCAGAGCTTATATTTCACAAATGCTACGTTTTTACATTACACTGTTATTTTAAAATTTCAGAATGGTATATAACTTGCCACAATTTAATAGTGAAACTGCTGATAGGCTGACCAATCCTAAGTGGTTGGCCCTAAACATTTATACATAATGATAACACTAATTGGATCCAGTTGGTTTGTTTTTATTTGTGTGTGTGCGTGTGTAACAATAATTATTATAGAAAAACAGGTCACAGATTTGAAAGAGTGTGGGAAGGGAATTAAAGTAGAGGTGAAATAAGGAGGGATAGAAATTATATAAATACAGTATACTCATGCATGAAAGTCCAAAAGATTAAAATTAAAACAGGAAAACACTTTGTAATTCTAATAATGGTCGGTGTTTGTCAAAAAGCATGTAAGGGTGTGTCTACTAGGCATGCCACATATTCCAACTGTGTTAATTCAATAGGTAAATAATTTCAAAACTCAAGTGTTTGATTTTATATGTCAAGTTTTTACTAATCAGTAGGGACCCCAAGATATTTATTAAGTTCTTATATGTTCATTAAATATCTGGAAATGGAACAATTTCAAGTCAGGTTCTATTAGCTGCAAACTTTTGCTAGTAGCCTACTTCTACTGCAGTCCTTCACAATCACAAAAGAAGCAGAGAGTGAATGAAAAAAATTGAAGCTCAAATTTGCGATTCTCTGTCCCACCATCCTCCCTGCTCTCTCAACCTTCACCATTCAGAAGGATGAGTCTCAGAGAATCTGAACTAGTCAAAAGTCTACAAAACACAAAGCTGGCCCAAACCCCAGCAAGATAAGCATAAATTTTATGTTGAAGATTCAGGACCTCCTTGGTTGCTTTGGATTCTTTGATATCCTTCATGAAGGAAGCTCAGATGTCCTGAGCTATCACACAGAATTGGAGCAAAGCAGCACAATTGGTTGACCAGTTGGCCAGAACCTGACAGAACTCTCTTTAGACAGCTTAGCTCATAGATAGGAGTGCCAAACATTTTTTGCAAGAATTTCTTCTATGATCTTACCAAGTCAAAGGAACTTTCCTTCAGAGAAATTCTTTGAACAGAAGTAATTCAGTTTTATTAGACTTTTTTTTAACGTTGTCAAACATCTGTTCCATCTAGACTTCAGGCAAATAGAGAGAATATGTGATAAGTCACAATAGCTGCATTCATCTAGCTCCTTTCCCAAATTTTAGGCTCTGTGGCAGATTTTTTTCTCTCCTGCAATTGTATACAGCGTTTTTAAGGTGGGTGAGCTGTCTTTTGAATCATGTAGCTTTTTTGAGACTTCTAAGTTTCATGAGTTTCTTGAGCCTTGGGAATTGGGAATTCAGCTTCCTAGGTCTTATGAGCCTACTTTCCTTCCAGAAGGAATGCTTCAGTTAGGAGAAAGTAGCTATACAGTAAGTACTCCTCACTCTAGACTTCACCAGTTCATTTACTCTTTTTTTTAACTCCTGCTGAATCCCTAGACATGTTTTAATTAGTAAACAATAGTTAGATGAACAAAAGGTAGACATTTTGTTTTAGCCCACATACACAGCTGGTTTGTTCATCTGGAGGTTTGTGGAGAGATGTATTATGTCTATTGTTGGGAATCCTCAGGACCCTCCTGTAGTCATCTTAATGACAGGGAAGGAGAGAACATCCTCCCCAGTGGCTTAGGCCTTCTGTTTGAACAACACTCAGAGCTTATCTGCCAAACTGGACAAGATGCCAGCCTGGCATTTAACAACAGAATAAAGGCCCATATGATTTATGGTTTTCTGTTTACTGTTCTTATGTGCTTTTGCAAATACACTAGAATTTCTCGTGAAAAAAACAACATAAAACATTTGAAAAGCTGCCAGAAACCAAGCCTTTTATTAGCATGTGCTGAGTCATGGTAAAAAATCTTGTGGCTGGAATTCTTTGGAGGAGAAGGGTTATGTGTAAAATATATTAAGTTCTTATATATGGTACATATCATATTTGTTTCCCAAGCAGCTGTTACACTAAGACTAGAGAACACAAGTAGCTAATTTTACTCCCTGTACAGATTTCTGACCCTTCTAGAGATATTAGTGTATGTGAACAAAGTATAGCATGTAATCAAAGTGTTACTTTCTCTTCAGTAAACACTTGGTTCTTACACAGAGCTAGGGGCCGTCCTAAAGATGTCCCTTTATAAACTTAATGTTTATAGTGATTAAATGTGGTTTTGCCTTCCTTATTTTTGAACCAGTATTCACTGGTTCAAATTCATTAACCTGTAGCGCCCAATAGCAAAACAGTATGCTGTAAAGTGCTTAAGGTAACAGTAGATACACTAGGTTCCACTGTTTCCTTGTTCTTAGTGTTGGTGGTGACATAGCCTTACCCTTCATCTTTCAATTTTTTCAAAGATGTATTTGCTTATTTATTATATATACAATGTTCTGCTTACATATATGCCTGGATGCCAGAGGAGAGCACCAGATCTCATTATAAATGATCGTGAGCCACCATGTGGTAGCTGGAAATTGAACTCAGGTCCTCTGGAAGAGCAGCCAGTGCTCTTAACCTTTGAGTCATCTCCCTAGCCTCCACATTACCATTCTTACCATCAGTTTTATCAGAAAAATGCATCAGACAGGATCGGTTGTGTTTGAATCCCACCCACTCAACCCATCCTCACTACCTTTCCTTTTGAAATGATCTGGAAGCTCCTTTCAGAAGCTGGGTCTTGGATACTCCTGTGTGAAGACAGCATCCTGCACATCCCAGCACTGTCTGGCAGTTCTATTTAGTGCATAAGACTTTGTGAGTCCCTGGGGTAGAAAGTACCTACGTCTGCTTCTAGTTCTAAAATGCTACATGTTCATATTTAGACTTGTAGTTAATTATTTCTGTACCAGGAAAGCTTTCAGCCATCCCATCACATCATTGAACTTTCAGATCTGCAAATGGCAGTTATTTTAGGGCTTCTCCTGTGGGCTTGCATATGATATGCACTTTGGTCATTTGCTTCCTCTTGATATCTCCATGCTGAGTTGGAGTACATTGTGGGTAAAGTTACTCTTTATTTGCATTGGTTCTCATCGCCTCCACCAAGCACACTTAATGGACTTAGAAAATACTCCTTGGTCATCTTTAGTGTCCTTTTTGCCACACAAAAATGAACACTTACTCCTTGGTGGACATGGGAGAAACACCATTCTCTTTGTTCTTGCTAGTAGAGCAGGTATTTGGAAGATATAGACAGTCGGGGAGAGGGACTCAATAATACTCAGGATGGAATAAAGGTCATCAGAAAAGACACTTTTAGCTTCCACCTATTAGAACAATATGTTTTCTTTTGACACCTTCCTCTTTTAAAATCATCCTAGCTGTGGTTTCCTTCTTTGTGTTGTTAAGTAGCCACTTGCTGAGGTTTTGTACTAGGTCAACTTGATTATGCTAGAACTACTCTCAGTTTTTGCTTTTTCTGTATTGAATTGGCCAGACCAGAGAAGTTAGTCTAAGGTTTCTTAGCAACATAACAAAGCAGCTGCTTTTACCCCGTGAAGTTAGTGTGTGGCAGGAGCTATTGTGGCCGTTTGCAAATGACACTAGTAATTCAGACATCCAGACCTACAACTACCTCTACTCCACCGGATCTCCCCCTTTTGATCTGCCTGTGTCCCCAAGTCAGGCCAACAAACAGTATTGTGTAGAACACCAGCTTCTCCTCTTGTCACTTGTCATAGAGCAAGACCATAATCTTAGACAGGCATGGTGGCAGGCTTTCCCTACATGTAGGTTCTGCTTCATTTTTGCCTTCTCCCACTTCACATAAGCACTCATAACCAGCTATTAGGTTGACTATAATGAGTCTGAATCCAACATCAGGTACAAAAGTTTCTTAACCATATTCTGCAAAGGTAGAATATATAATTTAGTATAACATGTCCATCATACTCAGAGATAAAGCTAACACATCTTTATGAAGGTGTCTAAGTCACTACAAGAAAAGAAAATTTAGGATTCATTGATGAATCTATCTGGGAAAATTTTCAAGTATTCACCAATTCCATCCGGTATGATGAATGGGCTTTCTAAGAATTTTATTATGAACATTTTCTATTTAAATAACACCCTGGCTATAAATTGGAAAGAAAAATAATAATGTTTTGATACACACAAACTTGCTTTTGTAAAGAGCACAGACAAACTTGTGAGATTTTCTGAGTAAATTCCTTTGGAGAAAACCTCAGACATTTCACATAATCAATAGAGAAAGGGTGGATTAGATGATGGCCAATGTGTAGAGACAGCACAGACAGCAACTGTTCCTGAACTGACACTTTCCATGCTTGTGATAAAAGCCAGAGTTTTGTATGTACTATACGGGAGCTTTCCAGTAAGCAGCATTCTTTGGCTTTTTGATAGTATTTTAAAGCTTGGCCTCAGGAGCAATGGAGTTAGGAATCAAACACGGAGCTAATCAAGGGAAGTTCAGGAGTAGCAGTATTGACATAATGTAGTAATGAATTGGATTATGCAAACTTCCACTTCAGTAAAAGCCTTGGAGTGTAGATAATTGAGTTTATTAATTTCCAGTACAACACATGAGACTTCATTTTTAAACATTTACCTGTGGTAGACATTGTGTAGGCCACCTGGCTCAAATACAGGAAGCCTTCCAGCACCTATGGGCCAGTGACAGGAGAATCGGGAGACTCTAGGCTTCAAATGTGTTGCTGCTTCAATTCACTTCACAGTCCATTGTTTCTTCTAGACCTTTAAAGACTGGAAAGAAATCGGGTTTTGGCATGGTAGTTCAGGCTGTCATCCCAGCGCTTCTGCTACAGGAGAAGTGGAGGACAGCCTAGCTTAAAAGCAAAAATAACAAAAATAAGTAATGTAGAATAAGTACTCATTCCTAGTTTTTTTTAAGTATTGTTTTTACATGAAAATGTTGATTTTTTAAATACTATGTTTTACATCCAAATGAAATGAGGACATGACTGCTCCAAGTTGTGGTTGAAGAGAAGGTTTTTATTGTAGATTGAGGGAGAGGACAGCCAGAGGCAACTGGAAGGGTCCACAGCAGGGAAAAAAAGTAATCGACTGTATCAGGTCATGGGGGTGGGGGTGAGAGGAAGAAAAGAGAGAGGAGAGAGGTACAAGAGGACCAAGAAAGCAAAAAGAACCAGGAAAGGGAGAGCATGGCCTGGCAGAAATGGCAAGGATATATAAGAATGAGAAGCTGGGGGAAGGGAAGATGGGGAGGTTTAGGGTAGGGGTGGAGTTAAAGAGCTAAGAGGACAGGAAGCCAGGGGACTCTCTAATAGGTACTTACTGAGAGAGCCTACAGGGCCGCATGTGGCTTGGCTTGCTAATAGGCACCACAACCAATTGTCCTCAGCTTCTTTTGGATTCTTCAACTGTACCCAAGTTGGTGAAGTTTAAAAGACTTACTTATGTAGCATGCTTCTCAAAATGTTCTCCACACACTGATCATACAACGTCCTTTGTGGCTTACTCTTATGTGCTATATTGTAGCTATCCCAACCTTCTCTCGGGTAAGTGGGACTTTTAAGTCACCCGTGCCTTTTCTACCCACTGTGCTGTAGTTATGAGCACAAGACTGTCAGCTGCAGGTTTCAGTGACTTTTGAAACAAAGGCTAACTGTTGGATAACAATCACTCTGGGCACTCCTGTTTGACTTGCTCTCAGACTTCATCTACTCTCATTTAATGTTTCTGGGCCAACAGACTTAGCTATTCGTGTTTAAATAGAATAAGAAGTAAAATGGAGGAAGGATGGGACTCTGAAATGTCTCCTAGGAATTTTATGAACACATGGCCTTATAAGTAAACTCCAGCACGGCCTCTTGGGAGTGAGTAATGCGGCTCTGTAAGGGCGAAAGCTTGCCACTGGGAGGTAAGACATTCTTAGGTGCTTTTATGATGCCATAAAGTGAAGATCCTGTCTGGTCATCACTGACTCATCAGTAATTTCGATCACTACTAAACATCTGTTAAGGATGAGAATGCTATAGTTTAGAAAGTGGAGTGAGGGCAATGGGTTTCTATGCAAGCCTGACCACCTGAGTTTAATCCCTGGAGTGGTACATGTGAGTTGAGTGCATGTATATACACACAAAACACACACACACACACACACACACACACACACACCGCCATACAGGCCCAATAATAATAAATAGAGAATAAAATAAAAAAACACACTGAATAGTATTTTGGGGAGATCACAAATTTTTCTCAATAATAAAAGATTTAAAGGCTATATACATTAAAGTATCCCTATAGAAGCAAGTTTATTAATTGAGATCCTTTGTGGAAATAAACTTTGAACCTATTTTGCTTTAGAATAAAATTACGTTTTTTTTTTCTTTCATAGAATACTGTGATTACAGTGAAAAGGTTAGAGACAGATGTTGAAATATTTATGGCTGGAATTATATACTAATGTTTATTGCCAAATAATCCTAGAATCTTTTTTTAGAGTACATGATAGATGATAAAAGACAAGCTGTGAGTGAATTAATTGTTGAAAATTGGTGATGGTTATGTTGATATATTTGTTTAGTAAAATGCTGGAGAAGGAACCTATCTAGACTTAAGCAGGGTTTTACTTGTTTATTGTCTTTTTCTGACAGCAGAAGAAAGCATGTTCTGGATCCACATTCTGTCATTCAGAAACATACTCTCAGAAATGATAGTCTTGGAATAATCATGCATTCATCTAACTACTACCTCTCAAAAGCAATAATCAATGTGATTGATTGTACCAATAAGAAAAAAAGTTTGAATTTAGATTTTTTTTTAGTGATCACAAGTTAGACCCTCTTTCTATTTTTTTAGTTCATTCTTGCCTAATCATGTCTTACATAATTATATAGATTTCTGTCATAATTCTCAGGTTTTAGCTTTCTGGCTTGCAGTGTCTAGAAATAAGACTTTTTCGCCTCTAGAAGTACTTCTGTGTCCTAGGTGCCATCTTGTTCCTTTCTCTGAAACATTTTGAGTTTCAACATCACCTTCTCACTAGAGATTGGTGACTACCCCAAAGATTCCTATGTGATCAGACACATTGGAATGAATGAAAATGGCAATAAAATAGCTTCTGGGAATAAAATGAGATCCTTTCATATCCCAACACTTTATTTTAACCTTCATCATTAGAAAATGCTGGGCTACCTCTAGTCCATATTTTAGGGCTTTTTTTCTAAGATTTAAGATCTTAGATTAAGTTGACATCCATAATCTTCCACGGAATATAATTTTTCTTAGTTTCCTTGGTGTTTTGTTTTAGAGCAGTCTATCTGTGTGTTTATCATGACCTAATAATACCCTCTAGTATCTCCAACTTCAGGTTTTTTGCATTTATACTAGGAAAGACATTAGATTATTCTGTGTGATATAGATAACCAACATCTAAAGGGATCTACTTCAAATATTTAATTTACTGTATTTTATTTGAGTGAAATAATATAGCTAAGCAGAGCATGTATAAAATGAAAATGCTCTATTCAATACTTTGTACTTTTTTATTGAATGATCTGTAACATGTCCCTTAATCCATGAAGTCACTTTTAAAAATCGCTGTCATATGAATAATTTACAATATTAAAATGGAAAAAGTCTGCTTCAGTCTATCTGCATGGCAACACATAGCTCAGCTAAGAATATAGGTATGGTCTAGTGTTGTCTTATATAGGTAAATATACAGATGATAGATAGGCTACATAGATGATAGATAGATGTGAGATAGATAGACAGACAGATAGATAGATCACCCCCATCTCTCTCTCTCTCTCTCTCTCTCTCTCTCTCTCTCTCTCTCTCTCTCTCTCACATACACACACACACACACACACACGTATGTATACATGTGTATACTTGCATGAGCCTGATTATTTTGGTAGTCTGTATACATTTTTAAAGCTGGCTGTCTTAATTGAACAACTGAAAAGGGTTCTCACTGCAGGCAGAATAAAATTCCCTTTTTCACAGAAGTCACTAGTTGTCTGTTGTTCTTTGTCTAAGAGTGAGAACCCATGACATTTTACCCCTTACACATTAACATATCTATTGATATTTTCATTGTGGTCTTGCTAATGCAGTCATTTATAGGAGAGATGGATTCATAGAAGACTTCCTGGTATCCTAGCTCTTACAGTCTTTCCTCCTCCTTTTCCCCAATGTTTTCTGAACCACGGATGCAAGAACTATGATGTAGTTGTATTCACTGGGATCAGGCTTCCCATGATCTATTGATCTCTCTATTCTGTCCCAATGTGTTTTTTCTGTGGTGGTCTCCATTTGCTGCAAAGAAAGGCTTCTTTTATGAGGAGTGATAACTATGCTTATCTGTGGGCATACTAATATTTACAGAGTAGTAAGAAATTGTGCTGGTCTAGCAAAGTGATGATACTAGGTTATTTTTCCCCTTCCCTGCACTGGAAACTTGTTTTCATTGCCAATGGATATCCTTCTGTGATGGGGGAAGTCCTTCTGTGTCTTTTACATATAAATAAAGCACTGTTGGCCAATAGGGAAGCAAGATAGGTGGGACTAGGAGTTGAGAAGGATTCTGGGAAACAAAGGCACAGTCAGTCACAATGTAGGATGCCAGAGGAGTAAGACCCTTTCTCTGGTAAGAGAAGACCATGTGGAAATACTCAGATTAGCAGTTTTGGGTTAATAGTTAGAGCTAGCCAATGAGAAACAAAAGCAAATGGCCAACAGCTTCATAATTAATATAGTGTCCTGTGTGTTATTTGGGGGCTAAAGTGGCAATGGGACCCAGGCAGGAATCCCACAACAAATGACAGTGGCTGGCAGGAAGACTACGTGTTGCACTTCTATGAATATATGTCTCTCTTTTTGGTTGATGAATAAAGCTGTTTCAGCCAATGGACAGGCAAGATTTATCTAGGTGGGAACTCCAAACAGGGATAGAGCTAGGTAGTAGGCGGAGTCAGAGAGAAGCAATGGAGCTGTTGAGGAAGCAAGAGACCAAGGCATCACTGGTAAGCCAAGACCATGTGGAGATACACAGATTAATAGAAATGGGTTAATAAATAATTAAGAGAGAGCTAGCTAATAAGCCTAAGCCAAACAGTTTATAATTAATATAAGCCTCTGTGTGTTTATTTGGGACTGAATAGCTATGGAACTGAGCAGGACAGAAACTTCCATCTACAAAAGGTTTGGAAAAACTTTTGAGGTTTTCTTGAATTTAATACTTGAGTTACTCTTTAAGATGGCATACCATCTAAAAGATGGGCCTGGGAAATAACACAGTGACTAAGTCCTTGCAGTCGTATTACATAACTTAGGAAAAGAGACACAAAGACAGTTTAGTATAATCATCTTATCTAAAACTGCTTTAAGAACAAAATGTTTCCAGTATTTAAAGATTCCTGTATTTATTTTTACATTAACAAAAGCATGAAGCTGAAACATCCTAAGTTGAAAACTGAATTTTATTTTAATTGATTTAATGACTTTTTAAACAGAAAACTATTTACTTTTATTGTAAAGAATTCATACTCCCTTGGTAAGTATGAACTATGCCACAAGGAGCCACTGGTTAATTATCATTGGCTCAAGTGAATGCCAAAGACTGAATGGGCCTTTTTAGTCTTTATTTCATCTGGGGAATGAGCACCACCCATTCCAATTGCCCAAGCTGAGCACAAGTTTTATTTGGAATACCTAGGGCCCTCAGTGGTAATATATTCTGCCTAAAACTCAAGTACTAGCTTTTCGTTTGTGTCTGACTCATAAAATTGAGTCAAAGAATCTTATGATAGAAGAGTGTGAAGAAGGGGTATAGCTAGGTGACTTTTCCAGGTCAGAACTTGAGACAAGAAAATCATTTTTGGTATTCATTAGTGATTTATTTGATATAAATACCAGCATGGCAATGCAGCAGCAGATGTCCACAGCTAGAGCATGGAAATCATTTTATTAAATCATGTTTTTCCTCTATTTGACTTATTACGGGGGGGGGGGCGCAGAGCTCCTATTATTTCATTTCCTCTATGGGCGAATAGCAGCTAGAGCCTTAACTATGGTAATAAAAAATAAAGACAGATAAGAGACTGTGTCACCATTTTTCCTCTGGGCAGACCTCAATATGTTAATACCCTGTAACACGATGAGCAGCTCAGTTAATCCTTGGAGTCCCATCAGAGTTTAGCCGTGCTTCCTCCCTCCATCATGAACTGTGAACCCTGTTAAGTTCTACATGCCAGCAAAAATAAACAATTAAATAAATAATTGAATGCCAGGCATGTGTTTAGTTTTTCCTCTCTTCTCTCCAGCTTCTCCTTCCTTCACCTTTTAGGGTGAAAAATCTGAGCTGCACTTAAATTGTCTGCTGACATCTTTTGCTTTAAAAATGACCTCTGAAAAATCATGTTAGTAAGAAGAGCCTATGCAAATAAGAAGTCCGTGAGTTTTCAGCTCTAAACTTAGTTCTTCACAAAAGTAAGACACAAGTTAGATGCCAGCTGATCCTTATGCACATATAACGCTTTTTTCTGATGATGGGGGAAAACCGAAGGAGTCAGTGAGCCTGAGCCTTCTGACTATGAACTTCTTCTGTTCATAGCCTTTATCAGTGCTCAGTTTTATATTTGCTTGACTTGTATATCATTGAAATCAGCTTTGACATTCAACCAACAGCTTATTCCTCTTCTGCGCCCCACAAAGTGATTTTAGTAACATTCTGTGATT